TTAAAATTGGGAGGGGTAAGTTGTTTCAGAGTATGGGACCAGTGTATCTAATATTGTGTTGAAAATAATTGGTGTTATGATTTGGTATGTGGATATCATCTCTAGATTGAGTACAATAATTATGAATGGCGTGATTAAAAGTAAACATGTTGCTTAGATGATTGAGGAGAATAGAATGTATGGCAGAGTATAAAAATGTACCTTGTTGGATTTTATTTATATATCAAAAGATTGAGGAGGTTTAAATTGGAAAATAAGGGAGGGGGAATGAGACCGTGGTGGCAAGGCCATACTTTAAACTGGCATCCAGGCACTCCATCGAACGTCCTATTGTTAGCATCTCAACTGACCCACTTCTGTCAGAGCGGCGCTCAAAGCGAATTTCTGTAGACCAAGGAGGAAAGTTTTTCCTCCATGTATAGATAACACCGGCCACACAGTCAGTGACATTTGTCACGTGATGTTGCGTACTCTGTTGAACTGATCACATCCACACACACGAGGTACCCAATATTAATTGTACAGTAGTTGCATAGGCCTAGTTGCTGTATAAGTGACCTGTCTCTTATACACATTAGAGAAAATAGATGTTCTATTTTCTCTATAGTTTATTGAATGATGTTTGGCGAATACTGGCGTCCATTTGTGTTCCCATGTGATATGTGTGCAGGGAGTTGATAAATGTTTTTTCGTTCGTCGTCAGGTTCTTAACTGGTAGGCTGCTATTTAACGAAGATAGGTCTTTCCGACAGAGCAAACGGCACTTAGGCCTACATGCATGTGCTGCCATTATCGTCATTACCACTTAATTTAACTATTAGGACTATGCAGCCTTTAAACTTTGAACTTGGTTCATTTCAAAGTTTTGTTCAGTATTTTAAATTGTACAAAAACGGTAGTTCAACCGGGGCCTGGTCTAACGACACAGACGCGTTTGTCGCCCAAAACAATAGAAACAATGGCAAACGCGTTCAACAGCACAAACCCGTTTAGACGCGTCTGGGACATATTCCGACTAGCTTATTAATATTCATGAGGCACGATAATTAGACGATCGCTTTCCCAGACGCGTTTGTAATACATGGTTTTCCCAGACGCGTTTCTGTCGTTGGGGATAATTTGTAGATCGCGCCTTAGAGAGATCAGATTTCATTACTACCGATCATCAACAGACAGACCTAATAAGTTTAATCATGATCTGCACATCATATTTGCAATAGGCATATTTCCCCAGTCGATGAATTTGGTTGCATCTTTATAAGTCGTTATTCCCGGTATCTGCTTTTCTAGTTATACCATGGTCCATGGTTATACCCATTATAATGATGTAAATAACCCAATTATTTTTACATAGTAAACCATTTTTTAATGTACTTACGCTAGCTTTCGACTTCGTCAGGCTGAATGAGCTGGACGTTCTGTTGTTTGTGAAACCTCACGGTTGTGACGCCTCCTATCGTCAGCTCTGGTCCTATCGAATCCGGGGGCCCCGGTCTCTCAGGTTGTAGAATCTGGCTATATATGTGAGAGAGATGTTCATAGTGGTTTGGTGTTTTGTTATGGCAATTGCTTCTCTGATAATTCTCTTGTCCCATGAATCTTCTCTTTGATGATTTTGGCATTATCCCAATCTGGTGTGTGATCAAACTGAACCATGTGATCTGTAACAGCTGATTTATAAACTGAATTGAAGTTGGATGTGGAAGTGCGTGCTGATCTTGTGCGTATGCCTTTGGTATTATTAGTGACATCTTTTTTGTGTTCTTCCAGTCGTTTCTTGAAAGATCTGCCGGTTTCACCTATATAAACGTAGTTGCAATTTAGACAGCCGATCTGGTAAATTCTGGGTCTGAATTCTGAATTTGTGTCTTCTTTTTTTGTCTTATCTTTTGGGTGGACTAGGATTTCTCTGAGCTTTTTAACTGGTTTGCAGTACGAGCCAATATTGTGTACATGAAGTGAAGCCTTGATTTTTTCCGATATTCCTTGCATGTAGGGGAGTTCAATGTTATTATTTCTACCAGATTTGGTGACGTTTCACAAACAACAGAACGTCCAGCTCATTCAGCCTGACGAAGTCTTGTTGACAACAAGACGAAAGCTAGCGTAAGTACATCAAAAAATGGTTTACTATGTAAAAATAATTGGATTATCAGTTACAAAACCAGATGAAACTATTTGATCAGATATAAATAACTTCTTTTAGTATTAGGGAAAAATAATTTTTTTAATTTTAATTTATATAAATTAGATTCATTAATTCATTATTAATATCAGGTTTTTCTATGGGACAATAGATCTAGAACATTTTTTAATTCATCAATATATTTTTTTTTTACTTTTTTCTTTTTTTTTTCCCCCCCGATGGAAAAAAGTTATAATTATATGAATGGCACTCGAAAAATTGACAAGACCATTTTATTCTATGTATTGTTATTTAAGCATCATATAAAATAACACATATATACGAAAACTATATACAGCATACAAGAAATTATAATTAATATGCATTTATTTAAATGAGGCACTTAGACGTATCTAATCATGTCTAGTATAGGTTAGGCATAGGCTACCATAGAGAGTTAGACCTTATTAGGTATTTATTATTCTAGGTCTATCTATTCTTGTAATTATAGATTAGACCTATATAATAATTGGGTAGGGTAGGCTAGGCCCCTAGCTTTTAAATAAAAAAAGAACATTACAGTTATGTGTAAACTAGATCTAAAGTACTAGATAGAGATCTTAGACATGCCTAGGCCTATTGATTATTTAATTATTATTAAATTATATTTTAATTATTATTATTATCATTATCATCTGATAATGTTATGTAATATATAACAATGGAAAATAAATATTTGAATTTAAAATTTGAATTTCATTATTAATATTATTATTGTTTACTTATTATTATTATTAATAATAATAATAACCATTAATATTTTTTCCAACCTGGTTAGGAACAATAAGTTTTTATGATCACATACTACGCTATATACGACGTATACATTTTACACTTAAAAAAAAAATGCTAATGCTGCTGGGGCGGATGCAGGATTTGGTAGTGGGGGTGCATGAGAGTCGACACCAAACCTCAGCCCCACCATAGTTGGGGCTGAGGTGCAAAAATTGTGATATATAGACCTAGGTGCCCTGAAATTTCACTCGTACCTAAAAAGTCTTACTGGTAATTCATATCAACAAGAAAATCAAACAATTATCTGCACCCCCATCCCACCTGCATCCACCCCGGTGCAGTACTGTACTGTATATAGTTTTCTCCCTGTCTGAATGCATTTTAATATACAGTATTATGTACGAAACTACAGTACTATAATATGCAAGTGAAAATTTGTTATTGATAAATATAGGCCTACCTTATATAAACAAGCCATTATAAAATTAATTTCAATCAACAGCAGATCATGTAATGATTCCTGATGATGATATACTTAATGTCAAAGTATTAAATCCCGACATGATGACGTGTATTTCGATACTTGGAGTATGTATTATAACTATTTTAGCAGATCATGTAATGTTATGTTATTAGGTAATAGGACATAAAAGGCAACCGATACAAAGGCTTATAAACATAAGAATATATTTTACTTAAATATATATAATCGTCTTCATTTAAAATTACAAAATAAGTGTGCAAAAAAAGAAATAGTATATACTCTATATACTTGTATAAAAATTACGTATTAGATAAATAAATATAATGTTTAGAAAAGGCCGTCGAAAATGGCATTGCAAGCAGCCCACCCATACCTTATTACCTGTAATTATTATTATCAACATACAGTAGGCAGTTCACACACTGTCGCGAGAGGGCCTGGCTCGCATGATATGAAAAAGCGTTAAAATTTTGTAAGGTAATGCAAAATACGGTAGCTGCTCGTTCTTCCTCTATCAATATTCTTTGGTACTATGACCAGGAAGTATTATATTGACAAGCAGTAACAAAATGTAGTTTAGAGCAAGTTAAAAAGAGAACCAGTTTTATGTACAGGGAATAACTTAATAAATCAATTAACTAACCAGAGAATTATTGAGAACTATCCATAACGGATCTAAGTTACAAAATTCATTTTGACATGATCCAGGTTCCAAGTTAACTGGACTTTTCAGACCGCTATTAATTCAAGGACTTTTAACTGTTACCACGATAGGAAGCTGGCTGGTTTAAGCCGTCTTAACTTGAATTAGCCTATGTGCGTTATTGTTGTGCAAATGGGCCAGATAAGCACAATCTGCACATGCTCAGAAAATCAAAACTTTCCTTAGCCACACCAGGGCCACACTGCGTATTGGCTAGGCGTACAGCTAGGCCTAGCCGAGAATTACGGTACGGTAAAACAAAGCAAAGTAAGGTACTAATTTCACTTGGCATGCAAATCAATCATACTTACACACTTAAAAACAAACTAGTCTACCAATAAAATCACCTGCAAGTTAAGATATGAGGCAAGTATGTCTACAATTTTGATTTTAAATTGATGTGATTAGGCTAGCCTAGACCCGGCCTAGACCATGTCTAACCGCTTATAAAAATGCAGAAAAATGACCCAAAACAAAATAGAATGAAGTTATCAACTAACTAGTGCATTAAAATTATTCATATACTTACTACTTACCTATATAAAATTAAACAATGTGAGCTGTGAAATATGTATAATGAGAATGTTTAAATGGGAAATTGTTGTTTGTTGGATGGGAAAAATTATATTTTTGAGTTTGTCTTTGATTATTGATTTTGTCTTTTATTGATTGAGTTTGTCTTTTATTGATTGAGTTTGTCCTTTATTTGTTGAGTTTGTCTTTTGTTGAGATATTCGTTTGTTTGCTGAGTTTCTTCTTTGTTTGCTGAGTTTGTCCTTTGTTGAGTTTAATATTTTTAAGCTAATGGCCGCCCATAAAATTAGCAGTTTCACAGATATAGTAGGCACATACACAAGGTAAAGTTAGTGATCCTTGTATTTTGCTAGACTACCATGCCTCTGTGTCAGTGGTGGACCATCAAGGCAACCAAGGTATGCAGTGCATATCCTAGCTAAAACTAATGAAAAAAAAAAATTGTACAGCTTCTCTGTTTTATTTATCATGTCTTAGCCATAACCTTATATACAAACCCTTCATTTTTTAGTATAATTGCTACTGTGTAGTTAATCGGAATAGCAAAGTTTTTCAATTTTTGGCCTACTTTGGTACTGTGTTTAGGATAAGTCACACTCAGGCCTGTCGCATTGTACTCTCAGCAACTTGGAATTTCTACATGACTGGTTTTCGATGTCAGTCAATCGTGTGTTTAATGAATCAATGGAATTGGGAGCACACCTTTTGAAAGCGAGATGCTGTTAAAATCAAAGCTAAAAACTACCTGATTGCGTTTTTATTAATATGCTCATATTTATTCGTTTAAGTTTATATTTTTTATAATTATATTTCATAATTATTGTACCGTCTTTTATATATTTGGGCCTCTCTATTATATATACTGATTCTGATGTTCTGCTTTGAACCCTATTGGAAATATATCAACTTTAGTTGATTTTTATGGGTCGTCCACACATCCATTCTCTGTTTATACTGGCAATTTTTATCTGATATGTCATTGTTTTGTAAATTGTTTTATTTTAATGGATGCTAAATAAATAAATTAAATAACTGAACCCCCCCATTAAGTTTTTACAAAAGTAATTAAAAAGTAGTCCATCTCAAAAAGCTTCTACTGTAATCAGGATAGGCTTCTTTCGAGATAGTACAGTAATGTACTTACATTTAGACTTTGATGATTATGATAGCGTGTCAATATCAATGATTTTTAATGTAAAGCAATCAAATTCAGCCATTGGCTGCTGATTGCTAATCTTATACCAGAATAAATAAATAAATAAATAACATTTTATTGTACTAGCATGGTTTGAAATTTTTGAAATATTAACCGAATTTCATGTTTGAAAAATGTTGTATTAGTAGCAATTCCAATTTTCAGCATTCATTTTGAAAAGAAGCCCCTCCCCCCTTTTTATTTTGCAAAAGCAATCTCGAAAAGAAGCCATCTCAAAAAAGTTCTCATCTCAAAAAGAAGCCCATCTAAAGCCACTTTCATACAGATGGGCTGGCAATATTGCGGTAACGATGCCAGTATGCTTACCATATTGCACCCTTTTATACCAAACAAATATTGCTGTAATATAACACCTTTCTGTATGAATGGATTACATATTCCGACATGCATTCGTAATGTCATTTGTATAAACAAAATTGATGTTTGCCTGTAACCATTAAGTTAGGCCTGGATATGACATGCCCGGCCTACTGCACCTACTATATCAATATTTCTAAGAATTTTAGTTAGCTGTGTTTTGATGTAGCGTAGTACCCACCCCTACCCAGAAAGTATATGAGTTTTAAGGGTAATAAGTAGAGCCAATTTTATTATTTCATTACTACTTCTTTTCTAATCCTGAACAATGGAATATCTGTCAAATTCACCTATTATAATAACAATTCTGTTCCCCCTTTTCTCAACATTTGTCAAATTTGATATCTGTAGAGTATTTAGACTAAATAAAATGATAGTACGAAAATGTGACCTGCTTTAGTTTTAGACACATGCTAGGATGCACCGTAACAGCAGTATTGTGGTAATATTACTGTACCAGGTTTGAGTAGAGAAAGAACGCCGCGTAACCCCAATATTGCGGCTGCGGTTAGCCCTGACCTATTTATACAGAAGGTAGTGCCGGGAAGATTCCTGCAATTTTGCGGTAATGTAGCTCTGTATGAAAGTGGCCATACTTAAAAGTTAGCAGATTCAGATCCGGTAAATCAACATTTTATATTTTGTGTCAAATAAAATATTTACAGTATTCCCTAGCATCATAAATGAGACTTTTTTGGAGTGTATTATGAGTACCAAATGTTAAATGGATCAATGAGGTACAAAAATATCTTTATACCTCCTAGGTTGGATTCTCCTTTAGAAAAAAAAAACCATAATGTAGCTTGTATATCAGTATATTGTGATGTTTGTTGCCTGCTGTAACCTGGGTGTTGACTTCTTTATCTTGTTCGTCATCTACTGTGTCTTTCGTGTTCCTTGCTGTATACTGGGTGTCTCTATTCTATTCATATTTATTTATATAGCGCCTTTCTTTGCAGATACGAAGCGCTTCTGTCCCTGGTCATTGGATCCACATGCATAAGTTGCTGCTGTATTCAGCGCAGGAGCAAGCAACCCCACCAGGTACCCATTTATATTCCTGGGTGGAGAGAAGCAATGCAGATAAAGTGCCTTGATCAAGGACACAAGTGGAATGCACAGCGAGGGGTTGAAACCCGACCTCAAGTTTGGGAAAGCAAACCTTTCACTCTGCGCCAAACCGCGTCTCTTCAAGCTGTATCCTCTTGTCGTCTGCTTGTGTGTTTATTGCTGTATCTTGTGTGTCGTTTGCTAATTCTTATGTGCTTATGTGTCACATGTGTGTTAACACGCTTCAGTGCCCCTATTATCAGTGCTTGATATTTTTGCTAAACTCCCATTCAAGTAGACCGTGAATAATTGGATTTAGGTTTCTTTTTATGGTTCATTTTGTTATTTGTATGTTTTGACTGAACTCAAACACATTGTTCTGTGACGGTTACAGTTATCAATTATCAACTTCCTACCGCCTCTCATCCTCTCATCAAATATTTGCACAATACGTTGGAATAAAGTCAAATCATTTTCTTCCACTCCACCTCAATTTGACAACATTTTTAAAATAATCATGAATTATATTGTGTGGGTGGCTGTTTTTCCCCCTCCACCTCAATTTAACCACTTCTTAAATAATCATGTGTGGGTGGCTGTTTTCCTACTTTAGAAATAGATATTATTAATTATTCAGTAATATTCTTGAGTTCAAACCTTCCCGCATGTGTTTACATGGACATGGTATATAATTATGGATTAAAAAAGCAGACCTCCATATTTGATTGCAAGCAAGCAGGGAGATAAACTTGGAATCAGACTATAACATTGTGAAAGATACATTTATTGATTGAATGTATGTTGTTTTCGTACCAATAATCGGTGAGGATTCCTAACGATGGGCGTGGCCTGCCCATCTGCCCAGTGCCACGCCCACTAGCTTCCATTTTGGACAGCCTATTTTTTCTGGCTAAACCCCTGTGTAGCAGTTTTGCGATATAGGCCTACTGGGGAAAAAAGTCAATTATTGTTAGAATAAGTAACGAATATGATTACAGTAAAAGTTTTCGTCTGTTAATTGTATAGCATGTGTAGCCCTGGGGTTACAGACCTTTTGATAGGCTTCTTTTCGTGATGGGCTTTTTTTTTTAGATTACTTTTGCAAACTAAAGAGGGGGATTGTTTTTCAAAATTAATGCTGTAAATACATGGAATTTGCTAGTGTACTATAATTAACTATGGAAATCAAAATTGTGTTTAATATTTTTGATCAACTTTTAACAATGCTAGTACAATAAAATAATACTGACACGCTGTCATAATCATCAAAGAAAGTCAGTCTAAATGTAAGTATTCAAAAAGAAGGCCCATGTGCTTCTTTTCAAGATGGACTTCATTTTGAGATTACTTGTGCAAACTAAAGAGGAGGCTTCTTTTTTAAAATGGGCTTTTTCTCATGATTAACGTAAGCCCATTGGGCCTCTGTTCAAGATTTGGTTCATTATTATAGAGTTCAAATTCTCTATGGGACAATATGCAACCTTGTTTTGTATAAGTTCAGACTAATATATATTCAGATTATTTGTTTTTATTTCAATGTTTTTTTTTGTGTTTCTATAGGATCCTGAAATGTTTCTACCAGTGAGCACAGAGCCCAAGAATAATACTCTTGTAGACAAAACATTATATTTTGATGAGGAAAAAGTTGACTCCAAACCAGTGGCATCCCTAGAGGATGTTCTCTTTCAAGATGAACCCGGAAGTGGTGATAGAGTCTTCCCGACAACACCACGGTTTGTTATTCATGCCACCGACCAAAGAGAGCTTACGACAGAAGCACGGGTTACTGATGATGAAGACTTGGTAGGATCAGGAGAAGGAAGTGGGGTGACCACTAGTGGACTGTCACCAGGTATAAAAGGCTTTAAACACCAACTTAAAGTTTTCAAGTACCTACAAAGTACTAAAACTATTGTAGGTTGTCAACATCAGTACAGTTCAGGGACGTAGCCAGGATTTTGAAAGGGGGGGAGCCGTTTTGCGAATTACATAGGACCCCGGCGGGGTCAAGGGGCGAATCCCCCTGTGAAGTAGCGCACTCTGAACGTTCTTAGGACCGTTTGAGAGGATAAAGTGAAAATTGCAATAGACGCATTATAAATAAGCGCAGAATAGTCATAATCACAAAAAATGGACATGAAAAACCAGATCACATCCTAAAAACAAATAGCAGTCACTAAGACATACACCAGGAGCCGATGGCGTTTAATGTCATACCCAGGGAATGGCACAGATCTGTTTTGAAAGGTGGAGGGGAGGGGATTTTGTGAGTCGACACCCACCTCAGCACCACCATAGTTGGAGCTGAGAAAATTGTTGTTGAAAATTTGAGGAAATAGTACCTCTAGATGGCCAGAAATGACACTTTTAGTAAAATTCATCATTGTCACATCACCATTAGTCAAAATGAAGCGCCAAAAATATTCTCATGATCTTTTATCAGGGAATTTTGACAACCATAGAGATCTTATTAATGTGTGTGTGATATACCACAGAAAACAAAGCTTAAAAACATTGTCTTTCAGTATGTACTTTACATAGGCCTACTTCAAAAACGTTAACGTTATTTCACAACCACCTCAGCCCCACCATGGCTGGGGCTGAGGTGAAAAAATTTGAGGAAATACTACCTCTTCTTTTATATAGTAAAATTCATCATCATCACATCACAATTATAGTCAAAATGAAACGCCATCAAATTTCTCGTGATCTTTTATCAAGGGATCTACTTAATATCCAGGACAATTTAGGCCTAACTATAGCTTACTAAGCTTTAACTATATATACTATAATTATGATCAAGAAATCACAACTTTTTTCGCATTTAGCACAATTTTCTTCACTTTTTATTACTATTAATATTACTAGAAATTGCAAATTGCAAGTGAAGTGCTGCGAAGTACAACTGCATAAAATGTTCTTCGAACAAAATTATTTATGCGAGTCAAGTGAAAATAATGATCATTCTTTATGCTGATATGTACACCCCTATAACAGAATTGATGTCCCTACTAAAATGGAAGAGTGTTCATGACAGATGGGAACATGATTTGTTACTTATGCTGTTTAAATGCCTAAATGGTTTTGCACCATCTTACCTAACAAATCTTTTCAAATTTATGGACACTTTTCACACAAAAAAATACAAGAAGCCAATCAACCAATACTCTAAATATTCCAGCATGGAACAATATTCATGGAAAGAGAAATTTTAAGTACAGAACATCAATCTTGTGGAATAATCTTCCTGTACATATTCGCACAAATTTTAAGTTGCTTAGTCTAATTGAATTTAAAAATCTTTTATAATTTCTATTGTACATAGTTTTTACTTTAAATTTTTACCTTTCTTTTATTTTCTTGTAATGTTCCTATAAATCTGGACCTCTTGGGAGACCAGTACTTTATTGTATTGAAAGAGCCATTCAGAATAAAGAAAGATTTGTATTGTATTGTATTGTAATAATAAAAATATAACAAATAATATGAGCACGACCCATTGTCTATATATTATTAGAACAGTTTTGCTGCAGTGACATCTCTCTGCTGGCGTTGGCTCGCTGCTGCTGGCGATGACTCGCTGCTGCTGGCGATGACTCGCTGCTGGCGAATCGATCTGCGCATGTGTATAAAATGATATTTATTTCTGCAAACACTATGCCAGTCTACAACAAGCGTCGCCTAAATGTAATAATTAGCGTTGAAATAGGCTAGTAAATAAGTTTAACTGGGTTCGTAAATAATATTGTCCTCAAAATATTGTGGCTGAGACATGAGCCGATTCAACGTGGAAATAGGAAACCTAGAAATATAGTAAAAACGCTGAATAGTACTCCAGCCTCTTGGCATGCCGACGTTGGTACGAGTAGGTTAGTCTACATACGTCGCCTAAAGTAATTGATTTTACCCGGCAGAACGAAAGAAGGAAACTCCGCTTTCCAGTTGTCTCAGGCGATTGATTTTTGACAAACAATGACCTTTCAGAGGTTAAATTGCTGTCAAGAATATGAATTGGCTGCTTCGCAGCAATTATCAATTATTACTATCGTCATCATCATCATCATTGTTATTATCATTATTACTATTAGTAGTAGTATTATTAAACAAAAATTTAAAGAAACTTGGAAAAGGATAAAAACGAATTTGAACCACAGTATCGCATTCCTATCTTAAAAGACCTGGCCTGAGATTTATGGATTTAAGAATTTTTAAAATCACGCTTGGCCTACAGTATGTGTTCTATTAGGCCTATGTATAACGTGTACTGATGCATATTTATTTTAGAAGTATACATTTTTAGTGACCCCAGGAAAGAATTTGTATTGACTCAAGGATGTGCTTTAAAATTTTAACACTGTGTACAAAGGGGGAGCCGCGGCTCCCACGGCTTGTCCCTGGTACAGTTATTAATGCAAAATTTGCCATCATGGAGTCCATCTTACCTTGAGCAATTTTGATTGTGGTTTTGATTGATTGATTACGAACAATAATGAAAATTTATAATCCACCAATTTAAAAACTGATCAAATAAAAGGCACAGAAAATCAAACAAATAGGCTTCGGTTTGGTTGTCTTGGTTTGTTTGTTTGTTGACGACTTTGGTTGGTTGATTGATTGATAGAATAATTATGCACAGTCTCATAATTCCACAAACCTTATCATTTCAGTGCGGTATTACAGAATAATGATTGTCGCCCTCAACATCAACTATACTTCAGCTTTACAAGATTATACCAGTGCCGCATACAAGGCTGTCACCATTCCTCTACAATTAGCAGTAAGAATTACTTAGTAGTAATATGCATTTATTATAGTTGTATACCATACTCTAAGTGAAGATTAGTCAAATGACTTTTTAACACTGAAACAAAAAATGTATTATTTTAAGTAACCATGAAAGTAAATTACACACATTATGATTCTTAAGAAATGCCTTAATATATATATATATTATCCTTGCTCTCATTGTGTGTTGAGTTTTCAGACAAACTGTATAAAAACAACAGTCATTAGCTTGTGTACCTCATATGCATTTGACCTCTGATTAACAACTCATGTCATTATAATTTTCAATTTCAGTTAGATGATCTTTACCGCAACACACCTGGGGAACAGTTTTCTACTATCCTTCAGTATACGTACGTATGTTTTTTATTTATAAATGCAATTATTATCATATTAAAAACTGAAAGAGCAGAACTTGCTAATGTGCCAGCAACAGTATTAGTAGTGGACAAGTAGCTGAAAAGAGTGAGAGGTGATATAAAATTGACTTATCACCCGAAAGTAACTGTATCAATGATAGCTCATTATATAAAAAAGTGAATATTCATACTTATATTTAATATATATAAAGGAAACAAAAACAAAGCTCTTTCTCTTATTTAGGGAATTGATTGGTGGTGTAGAGATTTTATATGATCTTGGTAGTATAAATTACTTTGATGATGATGTGATGAGGGCTGTGTCAGAGTCTGCGGTCCAATCTGGAAGTATTGGTAACTTAAAGGTCCATCCAGAGTCATTTTATTTTGAGGTCGTCATCCCAGGTAAGAATTCAACACATCCTTATTTTTCAGCATTCAATAACAATACACAATGCCAGTAATGATGGCAAACACAATATTCTACAGTCACAGTAGCATATCTAATGGAAATAGAAATCTTTGAATAATATGCCAGTTTATCATTTCTATATTGATATTTATTTATAATTTATTACTTTCAAATTATAAAATATTTGTTATAAGTCAATCGTGTTGTCATAACCTGAAACTCCCAGTGTTATTTGCCTATCCCCCACAGTTCAATATTTTTTCACATAGTGCATGCTTGGCTTGATTTTTTTTAGGTTCGTCATCGTGAAGATTGCTAAGCTAATGTTTTAATGCCTAGCACTACGACGCGCGCC